TTTTCCTAAATATATTGCATGAAAAATTTTTTATGTAATAAAAATTATGGTTTTTAAATAGAGTGTAGGCAAGTATGGTGTTTCCTTCTAAGGTCTACTCTGTGTGTAAAGCATGGTATGGTATCAGAGCATACTTACTCACCTTTGTAAGGTCATGTAAAAAAAACTACTCAGTTTGTACAAAAAAGAAAAATAATTACTTAAACAAAGCTAACAGAGCCTGAAGATCTACAATTCTCATAGTAGAAATCTGTCTTTCCTTTAGATCAGAATGTCACAAAACATAACAATTATACGGTGCTGAGCATCTCCGTGCTCCCCTTCAGATGCCTACAGTTAGATGGGACCAATCTGGGCTCACGTCCCTGAAAACAGCACCTAGCACCCAAACGCTGACTAGGTCTGGTCCCTACCTGGGGGATAGGGAGGGAAAGGGGGACTACGGCTCCTCTCTTGCCATTTTTGGGGGGCAGCATGCAGATGAGCTGTTTCTCCTCTTTGAGAGCCAGGACCAGGCTTCCTTCTGCCCCTTTTGGGACTTTGTGCAAATGGAACACTCTTCCCACTGAGCCACCAGCTCAAGCACAAAGCCTGATTTTGTGTATGTTAGCCCCAGGAGTTTAGTTTCAGAGCCATCAGACCAGCGGCTTTCACTATTAACTGTGAAGACAAAAGAGAAAATTAAGCAAATAGTCTGGTGCTCTGGATTTGCAGTGTACCCAGATCATGGTTTAATCAAATTGGCTGTGTGTGTGAATATGTATATGTATGTATATTTTAAGGTTGTAACCCCATTTACTGTGTTAAAGGGCCAAAAAACTGTGTCACATGAATCAGATTCCTTCTTAGAGAATTACTTTTAGAGGAATGCTCTAGTAATCTACATATAAACAAGGTGAGGTGTTGTGACAGAGTATATATTTTGTACAGCCTTCAAAAATTTAATAGTTTTCATGATTTAAGTGTGTATATGTTCTATAAATATATACATAAAAATAACATTTCCAGCCACTCCACTTCATGAGCACTTGTAAACAGCGAGGTTATCCTTCCCGTGCTGGCGTCGGCTCCATTATCTGGCAACAAGACAAAACAGATAACTGGTAGAGCATTTTCATCATGCTGTCACTTTGTTGTGTTTTCTGCTTTGTTTTTCTGCTTGCTGTGCTCTTGTACTCTGAGACAGAAAAGAAATTATGCTAAGACCAGGGAAAGGTGTCCGTCCTGCCCAAGTGCCCGGGGTGTACGCAGCATGGGCTGGCTTGTAGAGGGCCCACACACTTGGCGAGTGTGGCGAGTGATGGATATGAGCCGGAGACGGTGAAGTTCAGGCTTTGAATGTACTGCACCAGTGCTTGAGATCTGTGCTTGGGGTCAAATCTGTTGCAGAAGCTCCCCTGCTTTGAAACAGAATATTTTCTACTTTTTGTGTGACTGTGCAGGGAAAAGAAAGATCCTTCTAGACCTTACCATCTGTCCTGGAGAACAACCCTCAGTGGCAGGAATTAATCTCTGAAATGCCACCTGAAACTTGAAAAGGTTTAGATTCAAGTAATCAGTTTTGGACAATCTCTGCAATATTCAATTATTTTGCTTCTCCCTCTCTCCCGCCTCCATGCTATGTCAAGTAACTTGTTGCCCAGAACTGATTAGGGGAATGAATAGAGCCAATGGATCAAAAGACAAATTTTGTATTCCAATGTGATTTCTGTTTTGACTTAGATCTTCCACCACCTTCAACAAGAGAGAGACCTCCTGGGTGTAAAACAGTGTTTGTTGGAGGATTACCAGAAAACGCAACGGAGGAAATTATTCAGGAAGTCTTTGAGCAGTGTGGAGATATAACGGCAATTCGGAAAAGCAAGAAGAATTTTTGTCACATTCGTTTTGCAGAGGAGTTCATGGTTGATAAAGCCATTTACCTTTCTGGTACTTCACATTCTTTAATGGATTTTGCTTGCTTCTCATTTGTATTTTGTGATGCTAATGTTTGCTTATTTCCTTAGCTTTTATCTCAGCAAGTCTTTCTTGAGCTCAGTGGCTGTAGTGTGGAGTGGTAAGGGGCAATTCTGTATTTCTCTGTGTCTGCCAAGACTCGTGCGTGGTTTTGTATGTTGCTTACCCGGGAGCAATTTCCTGCCATCCCACAACAATGCAACAGATCCTGAAATTCACTACAGAACAATCTTATTTTTGATTTACACAGGTTTATATAGTTTTGCTCACAGGTTGTGGAAAGAGGAGGGCACTAGGCCAGGAACAATGCTGTTTTCCAGTGCCAATTTCTCTGATAGGCTGGCAATTTCATTGGCATATTTTTATAGATTTGCAGTGCGGTCTGAATAAAGTCTGCCTTTATGCGTGCATGTATTCAGCTACCGCATGGGTTAGATTCTGAGCCCCATCTGTAGGCTACGTCTGTTGCCTCCCAGGACAATGAGTGCCACAGAAACTCAGGTGTAAAATTTCAGAATCTCTTTTATTTTCCAACAAAGGAACAGACAAAAAAACCTGCTAACTCACAGGGAAAAAAGAAAGAAGAAAAAAGACGAAAAACAATTCTGCTGTCACATATCAGGCTTCAGTGACTGTCAGTGCCCTCTTAAGGTTACAGGATCCTTCATATGAGGATTGGTTTCCTAACTGAGCCCTTCTTCACCTTTCTGAGCTGGATCCCATTCCCTGTATGTATTTGTCTTCACGGGCTGGTTCATGTCTCTTTCTGGGTCCTGGGAAGACCCACAAGTGTTGTTTTGCCCCACAAGTGTAGTATAACGCTTTCACCCTACGTGCAAGGTATTCTTAAATAAACAAGGGCCAGGGACTGCTTCTTGGCCAAGACGAGCTGACACAGACTGGCTTACAGCCACCCACCCTGTGTGGGGTGACCTCGAAGGAACCCACTGGGACCATCCAGAATGAAGCGTGGGAGGCAGCTAACGATTAGAGATACCTTATTTGAGCTCCCACCCTGACCATCTTCTGTTTAGCAGTAAGGACATAACCCCAATGTCCTGTAGTTGTCCATAGGAAGCTCACACAGCTAGAAACAAGTGGTCTCTCAAATCACCACCAACTACATCTTAAAATAAAAGGAAGAAAGAAAACATCTGAACTTTTGAAATATGGGGTCAGGAAAAACCTAGCTCCTTTGTTTCACAAAGGTTTTTGTGTCTGGATTTGTGGGGGTCTTTTTCTAGCTTGGCTGATTGCTTTAAATATCTGTTTGAAGAGCTACAGAAAATCGTGAGTTTTATGAGGTCTATATAAAGATTTCTTTGAAATATTGCTGTATTTTCAGGTTACTTCCAGATCTTCATTCCACCCTGTTTTTTTCTTCCTTTTTTTTTTATTTTCACTTCATGTCTTCTTCCCTCCTCATGCTCTCTTCCCAGTTTCCACCCTTCCTGTTTAGTTGTTTATTCACTTATTACTTCCATAACGCTGTAGTTCATTGGGACATATCGCAGTAGTAAGAAGCAGCAGCACATTTCCCAGCTTCCAACTTCTGTCTAGGGGGCCCCATCTCCACAAATAATGGAGCAGAGGAGGGGCACACCAGGTTAAGTAGGAGCTGATATTACTGCATATGATAAACAAAACAGTGGCAAGAAAGAGAGCGAAGAAAAGCTCAGAAACGTACAGGCTGCCACCCTGGGCCAGAGCCAGTGTCCCTCTAGCTCAGTTTCCTGCTTCTCGGCAGTTGACTGCGCCCTTTGCTTCAGTCCGAGTCAAGTTTTATTTTAATTTTATATGCCTTAAATCCCAGAGGACCAGATTTGATGATTAGAGGTAGGAAATTCCCTATGCTGCCATGTGTCCTCGTTCATAACGCACTAGAGTGCGCATTCAGAATAAGGGAAATGAGCAGAGGTGGAGGTGGCAGATTCCCTTGCTCATCCTCCCTCATCCTGAATTTTCTGCTAGTTTATTTCCAAGTTCCTGATCTATCCTTCCTTCTTCCATTTCCTTTTGTCACAGTCGCACTGCTGTCTACGCTTCCTCTTGCTGTCTGCTCCACAGCCTCCCTCCCCATCTGTCTTTTCCTCCACACCTTTTCTTTCTTCTAAAGTGTTGTACTTAGTGTCTCTGACCGGATCAGGGAAAGAACCAGTGGAACTGATAGGGAGGAGGGAGAAAAGCAGGGGCACGCTGCAGCCAAGTTTCACTTCTTTTTACCACCAGCTCTGAACTCTGCAGATGAAACAGGGAGCACTGACTGTCCCCCGCCACCGCAGAGCAGGAAGGTCTGGCACTAGGCAGGGGCATGTTTTATTTGTACTGAAGTATTGGGGGTTTTTAACCAGTCTTTATTCCATTCTCAAACATAATGTATTCTGAAATGGTGGGGATAAAGCGTATTGTTAAGGCATTTTCTTTCTCCTGTAAGAGACAAAAGAGACGTACAAACAGAATTTGTGGTTAATATAGTATGCGTGTTATATTAGGGGAAAGTCATGCCTTTGATATCTGTAATATAATGACAATTTTGTCTACCTCATCAGTTTTATCTGTCTACTCCATCTAATCTCATCAAACTTTGTATTTATCCTATGCTTATCATCAGAATAGTGCAAGTGATTGCAAAATCCATCAAGTAGTTTAATCACTGATTTTTTTCCTTTCTATTCCCAAGTAAATGTGTATGAAAATGAGACTGGGAGATGGGTAGAAGGCTATGATAAAAAAGTTGACTTGAGGAAGGGCGGTTTTCATTTAGGCCTGAAAGTTACATTTTGATCTCCTGAGGAAAAGACTTTCTAAAATTGACATACCAGCCCATGAGAAAGCTCTTTCTCCAAACTGTATGTACTTTACTCTTGTGGCTGACAATTCAGTAACTCCTGCAAATATTGATGGCCCTGGACTTGAAAATGTGAGGCAAACAGGTGGCTTGAGACAGACCTGTTTATATCCCAAAAGCCTGTGTATGCATTTTTCCTGTGCTGATGTTTTCCCCTGTGGGTTTCCATTTCGTACCGTGTACTGGTTTCATTTTATGTTCTCAATGATCATCATCAACACTCTGATCTAGATCCCCAGTTAGAGAGCAGCTATTGGCTGGTCCCAATATAGCAACACTCAAAGGTAAGTCAAGCCATGGAGTTTTGACTAGACCTATGATACGAAAATACTGTGTTCGTTTTTTATTTAGCACCCTCATTAATTTTTCCTGCTGCTGCTCCTTTAAAGTGAGGATCTTGGCAAGTTCCCAAAGTCTTTTCCTCTGCCATTATGTGTGAAACTAAAATTAAACATGGCAAGCCAGGCACGCAGTTAATGCTAGCTGCAATGCTGAGCAAAGAGATGGGGAAAAGGATCTACGAGGGCAATTCATTGCTCATGCGTGAAGGGGAGGCAATGGCAGGTGGTTCTCTCAAACATTTACTCTCGAACATCAATAAGGAGACATGGTATTGGAAAAGAGCGAGCTTCCCAGCTGCCCCGCAGCTCAGAGCTGCCATCCCAAATGGGTGCCTGAGGATCCCATATACAAAATAGGACCTGCCAGTTGTGCACCCCTTGCCACACAGCATCTTGCTGGCTATCAACCTGTCAAGGAGTCTGTTCTTCACTGGCCAGGCCATTGGTCCTGTAGTGTCCCCAAATCCTGATTTAGGAGGGTGCAAGAAGCCATGCCAAAGACATTTTCTTTTTTTGTTAACGGAAAGATGCCAAGCCCTGAGCAACCTGATCTGACTTTGAAGTTGACCCTGCTCTGAGAAGGGGATTGGACTAGATGACTTCCAAGGTCCCTTCCGACCCAGGTTTTTCTAAGTTTCTGTGCTGGTGGAAACCACCTGGCTGGCTGGCCACCTTCAGTCTTAAGAGTTAGACAAGCAATGAGATTTTTTAAGTGTGATTCATGGGCAATTTCAAAAATCTGTTAATTTGGGGGCACTTAAACTGGTTACCTAAAGGGAAACATTTGTCCAGTGCTACACAGGGTACTGGGTTTTGGACTGCAATTTACACTGTTCAGTGTATTTTTCCATTATCCCCATTTACTTCAAAAATGAGGGCCACTTTAGCGAAACTCAGCTTTGCCGGTGCACACACAACCTGTAGATGCATAGTTCTTTTCATTAGCTCTTTATTCAGATTAAGTGGGGCTTTGAGGTCCACAGGAGTCTTGCATCCTGCAGTGCCTTGTTTCCCGGTCTGTCCATGCCCAGTGCGCTCCTGCCGATGGAGGTGAAAGATGGGGGAGAGGAAGAGAGACTATGTCTTCCTGGAAAGTACAGCCCAGCTGGGAGATCTAATTTTAGGTTCACAAGACCTGGCACCTCGGCAGTGTCCTTTCTCGTTGCTGATAATGCTCTTTTGGCACAGAGCAATCACTATTTGAGGAATGCAGCTGGCGAGTTGAACTGGGGCGGGGGGGGTAACATCTGCCATGGTTATCAGGGTAGCTGCACTACTGACCCCTTTTGGCTGGCCCCTTTGTGCTTACAGCCCTGTGGATAAAACCACATAACTACCCCCTTGTTAGTTCAGGGCCCAGCTCTGAAAGGTCACCCACACTCTTCTATAATGTGTCACTGAATATGGTGTATCTGTAATTCTTCCTTTCAACACCTTGTGGCTCGAGCTACATATATGACCACAAACAAACAGCCTTCTGGGGGAAAAAGTAGTGTTTACTCCTCTGAGCAAGAGAAAGCAGAGCAAATAAAGGGGGATTTAAAATAACAAACAATCCCCTCATTTGCTTCTCTTGTAATATTCAGTTCTACTTCACCCCAAGCTCGTGAACCTTGGAGACCAGATTTGGTAGGTTCCATGGAAGTTTTTGATGCCTTCTGGCATTGAAGGACCTCTGAAACACTTAGCTCGAGTTTTTCATCTGGGTTTGGACTCCTTGCTGGAAAATGAAAGTCATACCTCTTCCTCACTGACAGGCTGAACTCCACAAGATCTTTGAAAGAAGAATGTCAAATCAAAAGGCACCCAGATTGGTTTTTTTGGAAGGATCATTACATATACGGATATTTAATGTCTTTGAAGCTATTGTCTCATATGTGCTGTAGTACAGACAGTCATAGAATCATAGAATCATTAAGGTTGGAAGAGACCTCTAAGATCATCGAGTCCAACTGTCAACCCAACACCACCATGCCTACTAAACCATGTCCCTAAGCACCTCATCTACCCGTCTTTTAAATACTTCCAGGGATGGTGACTCAACCACTTCCCTGGGCAGCCTGGTCCAATGTTCTTTCATCCTTTCACCAGTTACTTGGGAGAAGAGACCAACACCCACCTTGCTACAGCCTCCTTTCAGGTAATTGTAGAGAGCAATGAGGTCTCCCCTCAGCCTCCTTTTCTCCAGGCTAAACAACCCCAGCTCCCTTAGCAACTCCTCATAAGACTTGTTCTCCAGACCCCTCACCAGCCTCGTTGCCCTTCTCTGGACATGCTCCAACATCTCAACGTCCTTCTTGTAGTGAGGGGCCCAAAACTGAACACAGTATTCAAGGTGCGGCCTCACCAGTGCCGAGCACAGGGGCACGATACAGTCCCTTGTATTCATACAGCAGGATGTTTTTCCAGCAGTAAACCAAACAGAGTATGCCTAGATACACATTTTTGCAAAGATGCTCCTAATCTACTACACAAGTCTTAGCTTTGCTGTCCCTGGAGAGAGTTCAAAACTGAGTTTTAACTGTGGTGATGAGGTGCTGAAGCTCTTCAAACCACAGGCAAACCATGAGACTGAAAGGTAGGTTCTCTTGAATTGCTGTTCAAAAGCAGCAAACACCATTTTTCCTGCCATTTTGAATGGGAGCTTCCTGCCCCTGGCGTTATTACTCAGTGGTTGTAGCAGTGTGTATTTCTGAAGAGCCTCATATATGCTAGCTCAGCACAGAGTTCATCTCCACAGCATCCTGTGATTTGAGAAGTCTCTGCTGGGCTGCTCTGCTTCTGAGGCTACTGCAGCAGGTTGGCATGGAGAAATTAGAGCTGGCCCTGTGCAGACTGATTAATCTGCATCTGAAGGCTCTGTTTGCAGCTTTCTATGTAGTGTTTTCTCACACTTTCTCTGAATCAGCATTTTAAAAGTTAGAGAAACTGCACTGCGAGTATCTTTCAGCCTTGGAAATAAAACTTGAAAAAAGATAGGTGCCCAGCATATGTTCTTCCACAGTATAGTCACGAAAAGCTCTTTTTGTAGTTTTGGCATGATTTGTTTGTCCTCTGACAGCAGTCAAGGGTTTTAGTCCAGAGCAGGGCCCTGTTGTACTGCTGTATAGCCCCTGGCTTAAAGCCTTTGCAGTCTGCTAGCTTTAGCATATAATACATCGACCAAATTATGAATACGTAGAACATCGCTAAAGACGAGGCACAACACATTTCATTATTTGTTCTGAAAGGGGTCTTGCAATTGTCTAATGAATCCATCCACACTTTTAAAATTACTTTAAAGAATGCTGAACTCAATTCATTTGTAGGTGGTTTATATTTACTGCCAGATTATTTCCAACGGGGAATTGGGAATTAGTGTTTGCGATTGTAAAGGCTCAAAATTTGAGATCTAGCATCAATGCACCCGCCCTCTTTGTGGCCCAGGAATTTGTGTTGCACAATTTTCTCATTCACCTATCGTCATGATTTTTATAAAATTCAGCCTTTCCCCATATTTCCAATTTCTTTGACAGGCTGGAGAAAAGCACTAAACTGCACAGGATCTCAACAGGATCAGGGGAAGAAGGACTCTACATTCAAACCAAAACAGATCCTTTTTCAGTAGTTGTTTTTTGTTTAGCTGGCCTTTGCACTTATAAAGGTTGGGAGTATCAGGTACAAAAATGACATATTTTGAGAGACTCCTAAACAGGAATGTAGATTCTGTACCGTTGGGTCGACTTTTTCAGCCCATCTACTGTGTTGATAGGTGATGCAGAAAATCGCGTGGAAAAATGAGTGGATGAATGTTTGTCTTCCTGTGAAAGCACAATGGTTGATAGATCATGTGTAGATATGTGGGAATCTGTAACTGTACATTTTTACTTAACTGCACTCGGGAAAAAAATAAGCAAAGAAGTCCTGCAACAGTTAGTTCTGCTTGTTGGTTTCAGGTTACCGCATGAGATTAGGATCTAGCACAGACAAAAAGGATTCAGGTCGCCTTCATGTTGATTTTGCTCAGGCAAGAGATGACTTTTATGAATGGGAATGCAAACAAAGAATGCTGGCCCGAGAAGAACGCCACAGACGCAAAATGGAAGAAGACAGACTGCGCCCTCCTTCTCCTCCGGCAATAATGCATTATTCTGAACATGAAGCTGCTTTGCTGGCTGAAAAATTGAAAGGTAAGCAGCATTTGATACTTTTCAGTGTATTATTCCTTAAGAGCAGGAGCCGTCCAGAAGTCAGAGCAGGGGAGCAGATTTCTCTCCTATTTATTTCATTACTTGCCCTGTTAACTTTCCCCCATTTCTCTGCCATTTCTATGCCAATGGTAATGGTACTCACCCACCTGCTAGAAATGTGTAACATCTGTCCATCTACCTGTGTTTTAACAGCTAAAACTCAACCTTCAGAATACTACAGTGGGGTTTTTTTCTGTTTGGTTGCTGTCATCATCTACCTTGGAAATGCTCTCATAATAAGACAACCTGTTACAAACATCCGTCATATTAAAGGCCTGATTCTTAAAATGTCATTATTCCTTGACTGATATGTTACTACATTACATGCATGCGACTGTCCCAATTCCTAGCATTTAAATTGCCCTCATGAGCTGCATTTTAACATGACCCTCAGATGCAGTGGTAGAATTTCTCTCTGACACACACCATCCATTCTTTCATTCCCTCTTTAGGGTTAGAATTACTTGTGCAAGATAGCGTATTGTTTTGGTATGCATTTGCTTGCTTGTTTGTTTTTTTCTAGGTACACTTACCAAGTTCATATTTTTCAAGGGTGCAGCTTGAGAATTCCTGTCTTTAGTAGTTAACATAGAAAGTAAGAAGCAAAGAAATAAAATTATTCATGGTAAAGAAATTAAAAAAAGATCAAGCAAACAACTCTTCATACCCTTTAGAGATGTATTTGTTTTCATTAAGTGTTTAGCAACTGTGTTTGGCATTCTTTCCCCACGTGGTGGCCGAGCACGTTACTTTACTGTGTGCCAGGTCACAAGAAACTGTGATTCTTGCCACTGTTTCAGAATTACCCAGATTAGACCTAGGCTATTCAGCTGTCAACACACTGGTCTCTGTTCTAACTATGAAACATGTTTGGAAGCTGGAGAAGGACAGTGCAAAGTGTTGCATCCTTGGAGCATGGAGCAGAGATGCACCCTACTGTCTCTTTGAGTACTGTGTTGGTCGCTGTTGTCACTGTTACCTCGGTCTGTTATTAATTTGGCTGACTGATATTCTCACCACATACACTCCTCTATTAAATAATTCATTAAGTAACTGGGAGATTGGTAAAATAACCCAGATGGGTTGATAGACCAGGAGAAAAGGAGGAAAGAGGCCCAAATATAAGAATTTTTAATTCTTACCTAGCTTCCAGTCCAGCTCATCTAGAGGTTACACAATACAATATAGAGTTTTAGATCCATCTGCTCCCAGAATCTGTTTTTAGTTGAATATTTTAGGAGTTAATCTTTTATAGGGAAGTTTTTCTTTATGTAGTAAGTCCTAGAGGTTTCCTGAACTAAGACAGAAAATGCAGGAAGTCTGGACAATTTCTTCCGTACGGCTCACCATTGCTTGGGGCAATTGAATGTGGGTTTTTGCAAGATGTTTAAGACGTCTATATTTAGAAGGGTTTTTCTTTTCATTCTGGGAAGTTTCCATACTTAATTAAAACTTATTCCAAGTACTTAGATCTTTGGTTCTCCTGAGGGACATTTGACCAGAGCTTGGCATATATGCACAAGTTTAATATAGAAATATTTTGAGCACGATGTAGACCAACACCATGTACATGACTGTTTCTCTGGAAATAAGGTAAACTTTCAGAAACATATAGAATTAAATATAATAAATTAAGAAACCAAAATGGTAAGTTTATTTTTTATTGGTTAAAAAATCATTAAAATCCAGCAAAAGAACATATTGCAATTTTAAAAACTTCTCTAATTAGTGATTGCCTTGTAGCAAGATTAATGGCACCACCCCTGGATCTGCATAGATTGTTGGGGATGGAGAATGCAAAGAAGCTCCCTCTCTTCTCATTGGTCATGAGTTGTCTCCTGTACTAGGTACTCTACAAAGTAGAGGGTAGGGTTCAGTCATTATACTGGTCTGCTTTACCTTTCCTATGGCATCATAGCCAGTATCTATAAGGGAGTGGGGTGGAACATTATGGCCTCCCTTGGGCAACATGGATTCACCACGAGCCCTTTGTGACATCCTAAAAACAGAAGTAAAGCAACACTAAAAAAACAACTTTAACTCTGGCAAAGGGCAGTTCATGTCATCATACGTTCACAATTTAAATGTGGACTTCAGTGAAGCTAACAGAAGATATATATACATACACACACACACACACAGAAAACTTGGGGTCAAAATCTCAGGTCTCTGGATATCACCAGATTTGCATTGCTGCAAAAGCCTGGACAATTCATCTGAAAGAAAAGAAGGATCAAAATATGTCTGCTGTTGGCAGGATTTACCTTGAAAGATTGGGTTTTGAGCAGATGTTTTGCAGTTGTTTTCTTAAGGAAAGTCGTGACCTCCCCGTGGTACACACTTCAAAAGTCTCCCAAGCTCTGTTGCCAGCTCGTGAGACAGAGCTGCAGATGCCCAACATGTGGGTTTCAGCTCCTGCAGTGCCTCCAGAACTTCACTGAGCAACACTAGCTGAAAAGCAAGTCAAAATAGCTAAACTTCTGTCATCCCAAGATACTGCTCTGCAAGCACAGATGTAGACAACTTGGTCTGAATCCAAGCAACTTTTGTGGTCAAAATAACCTTGGAAATTCCTGACAGCAAGGAAATCTGATGGTGAGCAGAGATGAGCTAGGCTCATCAGCCATTCCCCTGTTGTGGTCTGGATATTTATTGAGTCTATAACAGAGGTGGCAATATCTCTTTTCACCTTCTGTAAACTGCAGCATAAGACTTAAAGAAATCATTTTTTTTTGTGCACCAGACTTGGCTGGAAACTCTCGCCCCGGTATTGTCAGCATATTCCTATTCCTCTCATGTGCTGAAGTCACCTGGTACAGCAGCAACTGCCATAAAGGAGAGTGGGTGAGAGAGTATAGAGGGTCTTTTACGCTGGTTGGAAACAAAAGTTCGTTATAAAATTTCAGCCAGGCAATATTTACTGGTATGGAGCTTCACAGAAAAAAAGAACTGGTTTCTCAAAATGGACTGCCTGGTGACTGGGGCTGGGAATCCCCAGTATGGTATTCCCCGACTCTCACTTATTATGCAGTGCCATTGGGTTAAAAATGTTATTAATCCCAAAAATACCTCCACTGCATAGGAGGCCTTGCATACCTGCAAAAGTATGAGGGGTTATGACTTGTTCTCCATTCCCTGCTCTCTGTGGGCTGTCTCAAATCCCTTCTTATCTGTGAAGAATTTGGTTTGAACATTTGATTTATACAGAAATAAGGAAAACCCATCAAACTGTGGACCAGTGCAGTTCTTCACCACTTCCCATTTTAGACTGTTTCTTTTTCTTTTTCTTTTTCTTTTTCTTTTTCTTTTTCTTTTTCTTTTTCTTTTTCTTTTTCTTTCTCTTTTTCTTTCTCTTTTTCTTCTTTTTCTTTTTCTTGCTCTTTCTCTTTTTCTTTCTCTTGCTCTTTCTCTTGCTCTTTCTCTTTTCTCTTTTCTCTTTCTTTTGCTTTCTCTTGCTCTTTTTTCTTTTTTTTTTCTCTACTAGGGTCTTCAGGGTCATGCAAATGAAATCCTTCATAACTTTTTCTTTGTTGGCAGTGTGGACATTTTTCTTTACCTTTCATGTTGTTAGTCAAGAGTGTATTCACTTTTCTTTTCTCTAAGTATCTGTGACATTATTCCTCTCCCTGTCCACCTATCATGTTTTGCTGTTGCCACTTTTCACTATGTGGCAGTGTCATATTGCCAGTATCTTGGGTGTAGATCTCAGGGATTTGAGCCTGTAGCTCTAAAAATATAGGCCTACGCTACTAGCTCTCATTGATTAAACACTTTTTGAGCTGGTCTGCATTGATAATTTGCTAGTGATGTTCTTTGCTGGTCACAGCCAGAGCGAAAAGGGGGAGAAGCCAAGGAGATGATAGTTCATAAAAGAAGAGATTTACTGCATTAGAAAGATGACTTGTCACAAAATATTTGATTTAAATTTGTTTCATGCACTCCCATATCATGTTTGCAAGCCTTCTTCATGACTCCAGGACATAGAAGGCAGAAGAGAACTGAGCCTGGACTATCAGAATGAAATGAGCTCCAGCATTCAAACTAGATGGGTAACATGGGGAAGAACATGAGCTCCTTCTCATACCAGGGCTATGCTGATCAGTTTTAGGTTTGTACCACACATTTTAGGTTTGCAAGCTAGTTGGGAAAATAAAACCGCTACTTAATTTTGCATGACAAGTTATTTTTGTTTGAGGGTTTTTTTTGACCTTCCAAACCACCAAAGTAGATTTGAAGGGAAAAAGCAAAATAAAAAATAGGCACCATTTGTTTAAAATGGTAAAGTAAAATTTCACTTTTTCAAAAGGTAGTCTTCAAATCTACTTTTTGATCCAAATATTCCAAAATTTGTCATGACATTACAAAGAGTTTCATCAAACCATTCTCTGATTGCCACGGAATAAGATAACAGCTAAGCATAACTCAGGTTAATGAAACTTCTGTCCTCCCTTCTGACATTCTCCTGCCTTAGGTAAAAATCTGTGTTTCCCTGAGGAAGTATCTCAAGAAATTCATAGATGTGAATTCTGGGAAACCAAGATCTTTTACAATGAAGTGTAAATGTGAACTGCCTCCTTAAAAAGCCTTTGAGAATAGACCCTAAGTTCTTGTTCTGACAAAACCAGCAGAATATTGCGTCTTCTGCTATTACATTATAAAAATGTGATCTTCTTGTCTTCTGGTTCATTGCAGCATTTTGTTTGGTGCACGTCTTTGAGATTTTAATTCTTCAGTATTAAATCAGATGCATTATTACTGCACAGTGAGATGTGTCGGTAGATATTTAGGATCAAATTTGCATACCCTGACATCTGTTTTCCTGGGTGCTTTATAAACGGTTGAGTAATGCGGTGCCCCGAACATCACACAAATGGAAGTAGGCTGAACCTTTTATCCTTAAGTGCAACGCTGCTCTGTCAGATGCATTGGAACAAAACATT